CCCTGGACTCCTCTGGTGCCTCGCACCCCCCGCATGCCTCTACCCTGCAGCCCCTTCCTCCCTCGTCCCTTCCTCACTCTTGGGGCCTCACCTTCCAACACCCCAGCGGTCAGTTTCCCCACTTTAACCTCCTCTCCCCACAACAGCTCACCCTCCTGCAGTGAGCCACATCCCTACAATAAAGCCAATGCTGGGCCGGTAGTGACATGGTGGCTAAGGCACTGGACTTCCACAGTTCAAGTCCTAGACCGGGTGGCTTGCTTTCTCACACCATCTGCTCACATCATAAACACATGTGCCTTATAGCAAATTAAAATAATAATAAAATAGAATAAAGCCTGATGCCACATGTGCCGTGTGTGTGTGCGCGTGTGCATGTGAGTGCGTGTCCCTCATGGACTCCATTTTGGCGGAACCTATGAACTTACATCCGGGCTGCAGGTACCCAAGACCCCTCCTGCCCCACAGCCCCAGAGCAGGCAGGGGCCACTGGAGTCACAGTTTCCAGAGCCATGCCTAGGCTGTGGGTTTTGCACCCTCCATGGGATGTGGCAGATCACTCCACCAGAGCCTGGGGTGGGGGCGGCAGTGGGGGGGGTGCCTGTGGGGGCCTGAGGCCTGAGGGCCTAGGGTGGGAGCTGGTGGAGCTAGGGCAGGGCTGGGGGGATGAATGAGGGAGTCTGGAAAAAGCCAGAGCCGGGCCAGCAGGTGAGCCCCACGACCAGGGTACCACAGCACCTGGAGGAAGTCTAGTGGGGCAGCAGGGAGAACAGGAGCCAGAGAAGCCTGGGGAAGGGTGAGGGAGGGAGGGGTTCACCTGGCAGGTGCCTGGGGGTGGGAGGGCGGCAGGGGGGCACCTCACACCCCACACACACTTTCTCTTCTCTACTATACATTCCTGTAAGGGTCAGCTACATTGGTCTTACTCTCAGAACAAAATCTTCAAGGTGACTTTGAAGGCCAGGCCTGATCTAGCCCTCAGCTCTCTCTTTTCTTTCTTTTTTTTGAGAGGTTTTTGCCTTAGGGCACAGAGAAAGACAGAGATAGTGAGAGGGAGAAATCACCCTCTAGGGGGAATGGCCTTGCTGCAATCCCTTCTCTTCCACTCTTCTCCCAGGATCTTAGGCACGCACACACACCTAGCGTGAGTTTCAAGCAACAGGGACCAGGACTTGAACCATGGTCGGCCATGTGGGAGTCCAGAAGGCATGATAACCACTACACCATCCACTCTCAGTTCTTTCTTTTTTTCTTTTTCTTTTTTTTTTTGGAGAGGTTTTTGCTATAGGATGTGTGTGCTCACCAGAAAGACAGAGAGAGATAGAGAGACAGAAAGCAAGAAATTACCCCCCGGGGGGATGGCCACGCCACAATCCCTTCTCCTCCATTCTCCTCTTGGGATCTTGGGCATGCACGCACACGTGCCCGATGTGAGTTTAAGCTGCAGGGTCCAGGACTCGAACCGTGGTCAACTATGTGGGAGTCCAGCGACATAGCCATTATGCTAACTGCTGGTCCCACTCAGTTCTTAATATCTATTAATTTTTTTTTTAATTTTAGAGATTATTGCTATAGGGCATGTATGCTCACCCAAGAGACAGAGAGACAGAAAGCAAGAAACCACCCCTTGGAGGGAATGGCCACACCGCAATCTATTCTCCTCCCAGAGGAGATCTTGGGCACGCACGCACACATGCCGGGCATCTTTTAAGCTGCTTGGTCTGGGACTTGAACCACGGTCGACCATGTTATAGTCCAGCAACGTAACCACTTTGCCACCTGCTGGCCCCTGTTTGTTTATGAGACAGAGAATCAGATGGGGACCTCCACAGGGTCTCTGTGCTCCCACCGGCCCATAGCTTCATGGCACACACATGTGCACTGGAATGCTCAGGGAAGCCTCGGGACTTGACTGAGGACCTTTCCGTGCGGGTGCAGTTGTGGCACTGCTGTGCGGCCTCTTGGCCCGCCCCTCGGCTCTGACCACAGTCCCTCGGACATCCCCATCCCGCGCTCCCTCTTGCCTCAGGGGCTTTGTGCAGATATTCCCTATGCAGATGGCTCCCGTGACTCCCAGCCCCTCAGCACTCCTACTGGCAGGGCTGTCTCCTCCAGAAAAGCCGTGGTTCAGGAACAGCCCTGCCCCTTGAAGAACACGCAGAGAGAGTGCTCAAAGTCCAGAAAGGAGGGAGAGAGAAAGAAGGGCTGGCCAGGCGTGCTTTCTCCTCTTCCTCTGTCTGTGGTGAGTGCACGCACGCTCAGGGAAAATTAAAAAGACTCTTCGGGACCCACCTCAGGAAGGTCTAAGAGCTCGGATTCAGCAAGGCTTGACCTTCCTGGGGCTTTTATTTTGCACATGGCCCTCAAGACTACTCAAGACCTCGGTGTCCCCACTCTCCCCCATCCCCCTGCTCTGTGCAAGGTCACTTAAGCTGGCGCTGGAGCACTCAATACCGCAGCTGTGGCTCTAATGCCAGGCTCCACAGTGCTCCCCAGGGACAACACAGGGCCCAGCCTCAGGGCTTCTGGCATTCCAGGGGACCCTCGGTGTCCGCAGCAGTAAGCTCTGCAACTTTGGAGCTCCTCTTACTGGACCTTAAGAACCACAGGGCAGGCCAACAGGTGTCATGGAGGCTAAGGTAGCTCCACATGGCCAAATGCATAAATCGAGTCCCAGAACCAGTGGCTTGAAAAACATGCCAGGCCTATACGTGTTATACCCAAAATCCCAAGAGGAGAATGAGAAGGGATTGTGGTGTGGCCATCCCTCCCTGGGGTGATTTCTCACTTTCCTTCTCTATGTCCCTCTCTCTCACAGAGCACACACACCCGATAGAAAACAAAACAGACAAAACTACAGAGCAGTGAAACCCGTGCAGCCTCTGGTCCTCCCACTTCCCCAGGGCACAATTCCAGGAAAAGGTTTTTCAGTCCAGTCTGGGCTCAGGCCAGAAGCTATAGGCCCCATAGCCTAGCCAGGGAGCTAAGGTGGCAGGTGCTCAGCCCCAACAGGTGTTCCCCAGGGGAGGATTAAGGATTTATAGCCCCACCTCTGCAAAATGATGAGCTTCCAGGAGCTACTCTGCTGTCCAAGCAGTGAGGCCTGGAGCCCCCGGGCCCCTATCACTACATCATGGAAACGACCCTCTCCTTAAAGAAACCCAACCTACACTCTCTGCTTTTTCTTTTTTTTTAGAGTTTTTTTTTTTTTTCCCGCTATGAGGGCGTGCGCTCCCCAGACAGACCGAGAGAGACATAGAGACCGAAAGCGAAAAATCACCCACCAGGGGGGGATGGCCATGCCACAATCCCTTCTCTTCCATTCTTCTTTCAGGATCTTGGGCATATGCACATGTCCCCAGCATGAGTTTAAGCCACTGGGTCCGGGACTCGAACTGCAGTCGACTACAGGGAAGTCCAGTGACATAGCCATTACGCTAACTGCTGGTTCCCACTCTCTGCTTTTCCTGTAATCACTTCTGTATCCAATCCCAGAAACTCACTTTTTAAAAAAAATGATTTTTGCAGGACCAGCAGTTAGCGTAATGGCTGTCGCTGGACTCCCATGTAGTTGACCG